CTTGCTGTTACATAAAGTTTTACACTTTTAGCCCACTCCAGGTACCATTTAGAGGGGTAATGGGCATGGGAAACATCATGTTTTCACTTCCCATACCAGCTGTGTTGCGGCTTGGTGTAACCCCCCCGATGAAGTTGAATCATAGTTTGCCATAGAGTACTGCTGAATCAGACCAAATCCCACACAACTACACAACAGCCACAACCAGAATACCAATCCCCAAGAAACTTACTTCTGGAATGTGGAAAAACAAAGAACTGCTGAAATCAACTCAGTGATGGTTCAGCCATTAAAACAGCCCAGTAATCAGTCTAGCACCAGCCGTTAGAATAGTATACTAGCAGTTCGACTACAGCACATGCAATCTAACAGTCCAGCATCTAAAAGAAGGTATAAAACCAAAAAAGTAAGGCGTTCACACCATTGGCCATAGAAAAACACAAGAACACATACCCTGTCCAGCACCTGTACGAAGGTGCCAACCCAGAAATTAACCTCACAGCATCAAACAGATAAGGAAGGGGGTCTTTACTGCATCGCCCTTCTTCTGCTAGGGTCTCCTTGGTGTTACGACCATGGAAGAACCCAAAGAAAGAGCCGCAAGTCGCCTGCTAGGGTTTCTCTGTCTTCCACGTCCAAGAAATCAAAGAAGAAAGAGGACAAAGCAGGTTCAGATGGGAGAAACAGGTTTTTATAGCCCAGAACCTTGCTCTGATACCATGTAATCATTCATGGAGAGAGAGAGACGAGAGAGAGAGAGAAGAGAAGAGAAGAGAAGAGAGAAAAGAGGAGAAGAGGAGAAGAGGAAGATATGATTGAGAGACACGAACCAAAAAACTATTCTGGCTGCAGCCAGTTTAGTTACTTATATTAACTTAATATAAAAGGAATGGGAGATTACAAGTATGCCCCTGGTGGCACTCCCTAGTAACAAACTAATAAAAGAAAGAAACTAACTGACTGATAGCATCTTAGGCTGACAGCACACTAACAACAACTGTAAAATAACAATTAAATAATCCTCACAACATTTTACAATGTTTCCACCATGCCTATAACTTTTACAATATTTCCATACGATATTTTCAACATTTCCAACATGTTTCCTTTATTTGGATGACTAAAATTTCCACCAACATTGACATTTTAAACCTTTGTATTCAGAACCAAGGTTTTTAAAACCAGACCGGACAGGGAACTGTTTTGGAGTCCGGTTCCCAGGTCGAATGGTCCAATCATCCGGTCCAACCATCTGGTCCGAACAAATGGCCCGCTCTGACAAAATAAATAAATAAATAAACAGAAAACGGACAAAAACTGTTGTTTGGGTCGACGGTTCGACCACCCGGGTCAGCGGTTCACTGACCAAATCAATGGTTTTTGCCAAAAAGGCAGCTTTAGGGTGAAACGGAACTGATCATTTGACCGGTTCCTAGTTTTCTGGTCAGGTCCGGTTTTGAAAACACTGTTCAGGACCTTTAGGGGAAGGTGATTCATTAAAGGCTGAACAAATAACACTGCTACAAGGGTTAAAACTTGCCAACCAAGCAGATCTTAAAAACTCTGAGGTTGAAGGGAACTCAAAACTAGTGATATCATGGACTAATACAAGGGGTAATACTCCTTAGATTTATGGACATCCCTAACCCTAAGGGAGATTGAAAGCCTAGCAAGGGAACTCAATGCCTCTTTCACATGGATCGGGAGAACTGCAAATGGGATGGCTGATTCATTAGCCAAACAGGGAGTTCATAGGCAGCAGCTTTTCTGGGCTTTATTGTAACACTTTGTGGTGCAATGTCTGTTTTCTATTTTGCTGTAATTTTTTATCTGTTTCTCTTAATTGAATAGAAGTCTTCTTTGCTGATCAAAAAAAAATATATCACTTAAGGTATTTTAAAAGAGTTAATGATATAGAGTGCATCTAGAAATATCCATGCAGTATTTGGTATCAAGAACTAAACATGTACAGGAATCTGGTATAATAGCTTAATAACAGGATTGCAATGATTCATTAATGAGACTTGTTTTAGGCATGTTCTATAGGAGGAAAGCAATAGTATAATCTCATTGGAAGGAAATGTAGTTCTATGAATATGTTCTACACCCTGTGTAATAATATTCTCCAAAGAGAAATATAATATACTAATGAGTAATGAGAAAGCATTTATCTCCATAAGGACCTGATCTGATATCCAAACTTCCTTTAGCCCATGAGTTGCTGCTATGATTATCAGCTCTGCACACCTTTCTGATGAAACATGCTTCTGGCAAATAACACAAGTAGGATTAGAATGGAAAAAAACTACAAAACAGAAAAAGGAAAGAAAATATCAAAGAACTGAACATACATGTGTGTTGGTGGATATGCTAGACCCCTAACAAGTGACAACTAATATAAAGATCTAAGTTCTAGTAAGCTGGAGTATACCCAATAGGACCAGACGTCGAATGGTTTATAGAAACTAATGTGCTAATTTTATAAGTCAATATAAGAATCCTATTATTATTCTTTTTTGGGCATTCAACTTGCAACCCTTGCACTCTACAAACTTAACTATAGAATTCTCACCTTTATCTTCCTCCTTTACAAACTTCTTCCTGTTCTGTCATCTTTATTGGCTGCCATTAATTGGAACCCTCTCCCTGTTCTAGAGACATATATTGCTTTTTTTATCAATAACAAAATATTTCATTAAATAAATAAGAATAAGGATACAAATGGAGGAGGCGTATAATGTTCCTCTCCTTGATCTCTTTTCACTATTATACCCATTACCCATATCCAAACCCATGTCTCTAAACCAAACCCATACCCAAAATCCAAATCCATAGCCATCCAACCCAGTAAGTTAAAACATGAATTGAGAATACAAGTTTAAACATGTGATTAGGGAAGTGGAGAAGATTGTAAAGGAGGTTGAGGCTGAATTTAAATGGGTCCGAAGAAGTGCAAATGGTTTAGCTGATGGTTTAGCAAAACAGGGGGCATTGAGACAACAATTATTTTGGGTTGCACTGTAATAAAGTGTGGAAAAATAAAGAGGAAGAGAAGAAGAAAGGGAGAGAAAAAGAAATACTTCTGTATTGATAGTGTATTGATAAAACATGTTGAGCATACAACTTTAATAAGAAAAGATAGGAGAGACAAACTCCTAGGATCTCTCTCAATTACTCCTAGAATCTCTCTCAATTAGGGATTGATTAAATCTTTCCCTTAATCCTAGGATATGACTTTCCTAATTTTATTTAAATCTAATCTTTCCTAAATTTATTCAAATCTGTAATCAATCAAATCAAATCTTTCTAAATTTGCAGAAAATCATATCTTTCTTAATTTGCCGCAAATCATATCTTGTCGACACTCCCCCTCAAGTTGGTGCAAAGATATCTATCATGCCCAACTTGCTAACTTGAAGTTCAAATGGCTGTCTCAACAAGCCCTTAGTCAAAACATCTGCAACTTGCTGAGTGCTTGGTACA